GTGTAAGGAACCACGTGAGGCGGGGACCTCCGAGCAGCTCACCTGCTGCTGCTGCCTCGCCCCCACCTGCATCTCCGAGAGCCCCAGACTCCGATCCATCATGGGTTGCTTCCTGGAAAAGTTCGACAACTTCCTCAACCGAAGCTTTCACCGGTTGGGCCAGATCATCGCCAACCACTTCGGATACTTCATCATCGTCCCGATCTTCATCACCGCCATCTTAGCCACAGGTTTCCAGAACATCGTGTACGAGGATGACCCCGAGTACCTGTTCGCCCCCACGACGGGCGGCGCCAAGGACGAGCGGGCGATCATCGAGGAGAACTTCTTCCTCAACTTCAGCTCCGACTTCCACCCGTCGCGCGTGACGAGGACCGGGAGGTTCGCTCGCTTCATCATCATGGCGAAGGACGAGGGCACTCTGCTGAGGACCGACGTGTGGAATGACATCATGGCGCTCGACCTACTCACCCACACCGTCGGGGTCGAGTACGACGACAGGTTCGTGCGCTACGAGGACCTCTGCGGCATCTGGGACAGCAAGTGCTACGAGAACAACATCCTGGACCTGAAGGACCTCATGCCGGAGATCGAGGCCGGCGAGTACAACCTCACGTACCCGCTCATGCTGAACCCCAACACGTTCGAGATGTACGTGTTCCCGCTGTTCTTCGGCGGCCTCGAGATCTCCAACTCCAGCACCATCGAGAGCGTCAAGGCCCTGTCCATCTCCTACTGGCTCAGGACAAACACGCGCAAGGAAGACGAAAGGTGAGACAGCGCTTTTATCAAGGATAGGATAGGCTTCACCTGTTGCCTGATTACGTGATAGAGGGAGGTATATCCTTGTGGGCCGCGTATTTAAGTGGTTTTATTTTTTCACTTAATTGTATATTTATTACGGCACTTAGTCACGGAACTGCGACTTCTAGAAATGTCGTATTGCATATCGTTGGTCATGTAACGTATCCAGATACTATGTAGCGATTTTCTGCTATTCATATAGGCTACTTGAACATTTTTTTCCTCATCGATTTAGATTAAAGATAAAATAGCGGATTTTCACACTGCTTCGACTGACGTAATTAGTATTAGCAAAGGATACACTTCGCTAGACACAAAGCTGCGCCGCCTTCAGCCAACAGAGCTCCGACCTTGCCACGAAGAACCAGTCGGCTGTTTGGCCAAGCAAGTGCCAAGGAGGTCGCACTTCATGCTTTATTTTTATATATGACCTTAAGGAACCGGTAAGCTAACGTTAAAGCTAAGAGACTAACACTAACACGCGGTCCTTGTTTGCCTGTCAGCGTTCGTTCGGCGAGACCGTGACGGAGGAACTTTGGTTAACGGATCTCCCACTCGCTCTCGGTGCATTGCTTTTGGCGAGGGCGAGACTTTGGCGTGCGATTATTGGCGCGCGATTATTGGCGCTTGTGCAAGTATTGACTCTTTCTAGGCTGCCGAGGGTTTCTTTTCCTCCCCCGCTCGTTCATTCACTCCACTTCGGCTTATTTGTCTGATGCGTTTGTTTTTAGATTCTAGTATCGTCTTGATTCCCGATTTTATTGTGAAATGAAAAGACGGAAATAATTTGACATGATTTGCATGCCACGTTAAGTCCTTTGGTTAAAAAAAAAAGAAAAAAAAAGTTTTGAACGTTCAGCGGGTGAAGGTCGCAGGGCATGATACTTGATGAAGTTATTCTTATTTAAATTCATTAGTTTCGATTTCTCCTTCATATGCAAATGAGAGAATTGTAGTCTGGCGATATGCAGTACGGAATTTGCATATTAGTATTGTTTGTATGACCATCGAGGTCGTAGTCATCTGCGCCTGTATTATTAATGCTATTGGTGTTAATTTTGTCATTTGTTACTATTTGGCTACTATCCTTACCATCAACCTTCCAGCTATCGTTATCAGTATTGAAATAATTGCTGTTATTAGTTCCTCCCCGACCGACGCCAGCCTCACTGACCTCTCCCCCCCCCCCCCCTCCTCCAGCGCCGCGTTATGGGAGCAGTCCTTGCTGCAGGCCATGGACGCCAAAGACTTCGGGACGATCAAGGTGGCTCGCTTCGTGTCCCGAACTCTGGAGACGGAGCTCGAGAACAACACCAACTCCGTGATCCCGTTCTTCGGCGTGACCATCGCCATCATGCTGTTCTTCAGCGTCACCACCGTCATGATGGCCGACTGGGTGCGCACCAAGCCCTGGCTCGGCCTCATGGGCGTCGTGTCGGCGGTGCTCGCCTGCGTCGCCGCCTTCGGCTTCCTCATCTACCTGGGCGTCGAGTTCATCGGAATCAACATGGCGGCGCCCTTCCTCATGTTAGGTGAGTGTTGGCAGAATGCAGAAATTTGTAGATGTGCTTTTATTCTTCTTAGCCATTTTCTCTTATTTCCTTTGATTACTGTGTTTTATGTTTATTTCTTTATCGATTTATGAAGGTAATACTTTTTTGAACCGCTTACGCGCCTACGGTAGCTGAGGGGGGGGAGGGTTGATTGACTTTATCTGTCCTTTTTCTTTTAATTGCAGTTCATTTATTTTATTTGTGTTAGCTTGCCGCCTCTTTTAATTTTTTCAACGCTTCAGACCATGTTTATTATTGTCATTTGCATCATCACTTATCCGATGTTCAAACAGAGCGGTAAATAGATTGTTAATTAAGAGATTTTGCCTTCATTCCACCTCATTTCGTAGTTCATCTGCATGTCCATAGATTTTCCTTCACCTTTGCCCTCCAACCCCGTTTGTATTGTATCGTAACTTCGACAACAATGTCTTTGGCGCAAGAACTTTCTCATGCATTGTTTGGGGGAAGAGAATGTTCGGTTAGGCACAGAGGTTAGCCTAAGTTTGGGTTAATTGTGGGAATTTAAGGGATGGTTAAGGGCAGAGTGGAATTATGGGATAAACAGGAAAGTAAGCTTGAGGCTAACGCGGGAATGTGTTAGGTTAGGTTTTGTTTGTTTCTTCGTGATTGCTGGGATTAAATATTTTTTTGTAATTGGATGGTCTTCCTCTCTCACATGTCTTACTCTTTTTTTTATCATTCTCCCTCTCCCTTTCCCTGTCTTTCTCTCTCTCTCCCTCCTTCCCTCCCTCCCTCCTTCCCTCCCTCCCTCCCTCCCTCCTTCCCTCCCTCCCTCCCTCCTTCCCTCCCTCCCTCCCTCCCTCCCTCCTTCCCTCCCCCTCCCCTTCCCTGTCTTTCTCTCTCTCTCCCTCCCCGTCTCTCCCCAACTCTGCCCGCGCTTTCTGAGCCATACACACAACGGATCAGGAAAATTATTCGTAAGACGTTCGCCCCCCCCCCACTACCCCACACCCTCGCCCCTTCCCTACACTCTCCCCCTCCTCCTTCCCTACACTCTCCCCCTCCCCCTTCCCTACACTCTCCCCCTCCCCCTTCCCTACACTCTCCCCCTCCCCCTTCCCTACACTCTCCCCCTCCCCCTTCCCTACACTCTCCCCCTCCCCCTTCCCTACACTCTCCCCCTCCCCCTTCCCTACACTCTCCCTTCCCTACACTCTCCCCCTCCCCCTTCCCTACACTCTCCCCCTCCCCCTTCCCTACACTCTCCCCCTCCCCCTTCCCTACACTCTCCCCCTCCCCCTTCCCTACACTCTCCCCCTCCCCCTTCCCTACACTCTCCCCCTCCCCCTTCCCTACACTCTCCCCCTCCCCCTTCCCTACACTCTCCCCCTCCCCCTTCCCTACACTCTCCCCCTCCCCCTTCCCTACACTCTCCCCCTCCCCCTTCCCTACACTCTCCCCCTCCCCCTTCCCTACACTCTCCCCCACCCTTCCCTCACTCCCCCTACATCCTTCTCCCACCCCCTTCCCCCACCCCCTTCCCCCCACCCCCCACAATCTCCCACAAACCCGGAATAGAATCTGTCAGCATTACACGCATTTTGTTTTAGCAATGGAGAAAGAGGAGGAGATGAGTTTCAAAGACACAGGCAGACAGAAACAAGAGACTTTGATCCTCTCCGTCGGCTGTTAAGGAAAAGGGGGATGACATTTGTGTTATTACAATTTTGTAATAATTGGGATCGGCGTGTTTAGTTTAAAATGGTAGGGAGATAGAGAGATAGATAAAGAGAGGGTGGCCAGAATATTGGCAATAAATGTGCTATTTGCCTTAAGATATATAATAATATATAGATATATATATAGATAGATAGATGAGCGTGTGGTCGGCCATGTGTGCACCCAGAACATTCACATAAGACACCGTAATGTCACGCTGGACTAATGATGTTAACGGTGCAACAGGTGGTCATTTCCATGCAGTAGAGCGGTCTTTTCTGTACACGAAATGCTTAAGATAAATATTCACGGATGTGCTTATGTGTTTGTTTATTAATATGTGTGTGTGTGTGTACGTGTGTGTGTGTATGTGAGAGAGAGAGAGAGAGAGAGAGAGAGAGAGAGAGAGAGAGAGAGAATGCCTGTACGTCTGTATGTGTGTCTGTTAGTTTCATTACAGTTTATTACACTGTAATATGTACCATCTTGCAAAAAGCCTGGACTTGCGGCTTTGGGAATGTTGCACGCCGGGAAAACACTCCAGCTGATTACGGCACGCTGGATAGTGACCGGCATTTCGCCATCAAAGCTTTCATAATAGGGCGGTGCCAATTAGCTACAGCACGGCATCTTGAACTGGAGGCAAGGCTTCAGAGCTTGCTTCTCCCCGCTGTTTAACTATGCGTTCTCTCTTGGCTAATAATCTTTTTTTCTCTCTTTTTTCTGTCTGTCCATTTCTCTCTCCTTCTCTCTCTCTCATAGATGTGTGTGTGTATGTGTATATATATATTATATGTATATGTATATATATATATGTAAATATATACATATGTAAATATATATACATATGTAAATATATATACATATGTAAATATATATACATATGTAAATATATATACATATGTAAATATATATACATATGTAAATATATATAATATGTAAATATATATACATATGTAAATATATATACATATGTAAATATATATACATATGTAAATATATATACATATGTAAATATATATATATATATATATATATATATATATATATATATATATATATATATATATATATATATATATAATGTAAATATATACGTATGTATATATATATACATATACATACATACATATACATACATACATATACATACATACATACACATACATACATACATATACATACATTTACATACATATACATACATATACATACATACATATACATACATACATATACATACATACATATACATACATTCATATACATACATTCATATACATACATACATATACATACATACATATACATACATACATATACATACATACATATACATACATACATATACATACATACATATACATACATACATATACATACATACATATACATACATACATATACATACATACATATACATACATACATATACATACATACATATACATATATATATATGTGTGTGTGTATGTGTGTGTGTGTGTGTGTGTGTGTATGTGTGTGTATGTGTGTGTGTACATATATAAATATATATATACATATACATATAAAAAAATAATATATATATATATATATATATATATATATATATATATATATATATATATATATATGTATATACACACATATACACACACACACATATACATATATATATATACATATATATATATATATATATATATATATATATATATATATATATATATATATATATATATATATATATATTATACATATATATTATACATATATACATATACATATACATATATATACACACGTGTGTGTTTTTACTATTTTTTTCCCCTTATCCTCTTCCTCCCTCCCTCCCTCTCCCTATATGTATATCTAACAATAATGTTCATATGCGTCATTTTCCCTCCTAATCCAATCTCTCCATGTCTATAAAATTTGCATAGACTCTACACGCCAAGGATTCTAGTCTTGTTCCCAAACTATAATTATTCTCGGTCTACTTACGGTCTGCGTCAAGTCACCACCACATAATCGTGAAAATACAGACCTCATCACCAATCAACCGATAGTTCACGGTGTCACCTTCCTTTCGAAGTCATCACCATCCCTTTATCTTGTCTTGGCTTCGTCACTATCGCAAGTGTCATTTCGAGGAGTGTCGCTGGTACTAGTTGTGACTCGTCGTATTTCTACCTCCTCCTCCTCCTCCTCCTCCTCCTCGTTCATTTTGCTTTCCATTCACGTCAGCGTCCGTTCCCTCTCTCATCTCTTCCGCCACTGATACTCTCACTCTCTCCCACTCCCCTATCTACTCCCATATCCACATCCACAACCATATACACATCCACATCCACACCTACATCCATATCCATATCCATATCCATATCCATATCCACACTCACAACCATATCTATATCTATATCCACACCCATATCCATATCCGTATCCATATCCACATCCATATCCACATCCACCCCCTTCCACCTCCACATCGTCTACCCCCCACATCCCTGCCTCCGCTCCACCGTGCTTCCACTCCACCCAATCTCCACCTCTGCCCGCGGCCCTTTCACGATAAGTCGCGTCATTCTGTTTCCTTAGAAAGTGACAGACTCGTGCGAGTGTACACAGGTCATCTCGGAGAGAGTGGAGACGTCCAACGTGTGCGGCTGACTGGCCGGCACCTCACGCACAAAAGCACGCATGCACGCACGCAAGCAAGCACGCACGCTAGATATTGGTTAGCGTTGGGAGGTGGGACGAATAGGTGGAGAACCGTATGTGGGCATGGATAAGGTTCCTTGTGGTGGGCATGTCAGGGTATATGAGACTGGCACGTGTGTGAAAAGGTCAGTCAGACAGTAATAGTATGTTAGTGCTTTTACAAACGCACTGTAGTTTAAAACTGAGGAAGTAATTAGCTTGCTTTAGCTTTCGAAGGACGTCATGACAAAGCGCTGTGATTACCTTCATGTATACATAACGGTCAGACTTCCAAATACAGTTCTACTTATAAGGCCGAGGGTTCGTAACGCTTATAAGGGTGAGGTTGGAGGGTGACGTTACCCGAGTACGCTGCCATTTAAGACGTTCCTAACAACACCCTAAAGTGATAGGAAGTTCAAAATCACTTCCGCCACGAGAAACAATGAGGTTATGTGGGGGCCATCTTTCACTCCGTGGCTGACGGCGCGAAAATGTGTGCAGAAGCAAGAGAGAAGAAAACAATAGATAAATAAAAATCGCCATCAAGCATTTGTTGTTTCCATTTGCGTCAAAAATGCACTTTATTCGCAGTCCGAGAAGCGTGACAG